TGACTTCGCATCAGCAAACAGCAGGAACAGTCTACAAACATCCACAGTGGTTCAACTGTCTGCTGTGATTACTCAGTCCAATGTATATCAGTCCACAAAAAGGTACACTGTGACATTAGGTGGCTTTGTTTGGATTGAATTCTTACAAAAATACATCAAACATCCAGTGGTAAAAACTGTACAATTGCAGATGACTGACGAGTGTAATTGTCAGATTTGTAAGGCGTCTTTTATGTTTTTTACAGTATTGTGTATATAATCTTATTCTTTCGACTGCCTCTTTCTCTAGCATCCTCCTCTGTCACACCAACCCTCTGCATGTCCTCCTTCTCTACATGAACCACCTCTGAGGTCTTCCTCTTTTCCTCCTTTTCCACAGTTAAGCAGCATTATTGAAGAATGTGACAAATAGTTTAAAATACCTTTGTTATTAGTTTTTGACATTTTCCATTAAACGGTTCTCAAATTTAACTTAATATCTCAGTGTTTCGTGGTTTTAAACTACTCAGTCAGTTTTTTCCCCTTGTGACTAAGAAATTAGTCACCAGGAACATCCCTACTCCCAACTAAAATCTTAACACCACCAGCTCTGTCTCCTGTATTTTAATAATTCGATTTTAGCATTAAAAATCTCTTTTCGATTTCAGCGCATGCACATACTGGTGGATTAACCATTACAAAAACATGAAAAAAGGGTTTTGGTAATTGCCAATACTCGTAATTCAGGGTAGCTGTGACATAAATCGTACATTGGATGGTGGTCTTTCTTTCTTAAAGGTGAGATTAAAATCAAACAACACACGCCTAAAACAGTGATAACAAATTCAATTTAATGCTAAGTTTCATTAGCAATGAGAGCCATTAACATTACCAATTAACATATGCAGGACTGACTGCCCCAGTGCAATTTTGACTGTTATTATGCCTGTAATACGTGAAACAGATTTTAATTTGTTTTTAATTTTAATTGCATCACACGTGCATTTTTCTCTGACTGCTGAACTTGACACAATTCAACTTGATTTTTTCTCAGCACTGCCCTGGTCTCCTTACCAGGCCATGTGCTATTTTATCATGCTACCAACTGAGTTGTAGTAATATGACAAGATGTTCACGTTCAGCGTGATCACATGAAGCATACAGTGCATTGTTTAAGCTTTCATGAGTAAGTAAACAAACCTCCTACAGGTATGTGGAAACTTCCTGTAGACAGAAAAGCACTTTTTAATGTTCTTGTTGCATCTTTAAGCTTTAATGATAGCTGCCCTGTTGTGGGGTTCATGGGCCGTAGCACTATCCGCCTCATGACTGTGAGTTGAATTCTGAATTCTGCCCTCTAAATATACAGTATACACAAAGACACAACACCTCCCTTAGGCTGCAAAGATTAAACGAGTCTTCGCTGCATACAGTTAAATCAGCACAGCTGGACGAAGACTGTTAGCAGGTTGCTGTATATGTGCACGTACTGTATTCATAATATAGAAAAGCGGGACGTATTCGGCTCCTTATTAAGCTTTCCTCTCGCTGCATTAATCTTCTTTATCCTGCAGTGGCAAAACCATTTCAATACAAACAGGACATTTAAATACCAACTCATAATGAGCGGGAGAGATAAGTGTTTCTCTGACAGAAGTGTACAAACAATTCCACTTTGCACAAAGCCATCAAAGACAAAGTACAAATAAGTAACTGACCCTGTCTCCCTATTGCCTCTGCGGCTCATGGTTCTGGTAATACTGAGAGCTTAGATATGAGATGAATCTAATTTTGTAATCTCAGACTCAGAAAGCCAAATCCTAAAATAGATTCTCGTGTTTCACTTCTCTGTAAATTGTACGCCACAAGCATTCAGAGATTGCTACAAAGACTTCACACGCTCCTAGTTTGTCTGGGTTAAAAGCTTGTGGAGGAGAGAACGGGGTTGAGAGCGTGATGGAGGAAAGAACAGAAGGTGGGGGCTGGAGGAGAGGCCGTGCTTTAACAAGCTTATCTCGCTCCCTAATGCAGTTTGGGCCATCAAAGCGTTGAGAGGCGGCGACGCTAGGGGCGGCTGTATTTTTTGACCGCTACCTGTGACAGCAATTACTGGTTCCCCTTTAAGCATGCCTTTGTTTGGTGGCAGACTTGAATGCTCGGGTAGAACAAGATTACCTCAATGTTTTGCAACTGCAGCATAATCAAAGCCTCACAATGCCATGCCCCTCTGAATCAACCGAGCTAGGTCTGCCACCATTTCTTTCTGGACCCTTTATTCAGGAGGTGGCGTGACATTATTTTCATTATAGCAGTGTTGGGTGTTTTTTTTAAAGGTATACATCACAGGCAAATATTCCACAACACTTCCACAGCTTCTCTTAGAAACAGCAATGAGAACTGTGGTGCATAAAAAAAACGGAGGTGTTAACAAAATTCATTTAGAAGTGGAATTTAATGAATAGAGCTTTCACGACAATTAGATAATGCATCCATAGCACGCTACTGTATTCGCTAGTTGCATACCTGTGCTTCAGGTATTCAGTGAAATAAATGTCCCACTCCCAAACCTTTGTTCTGCTTTCAGTAGCTTATCATCTCACATATGTTGGCCGAGTTAATCCCTTTAGAGATAGTGTGGCCTTACCTTGGACCTTCGGTGCCATAAAAAACTATTTGCGCCCTTCCTGATTTTTTTGTTCTTTTACATATTTGTTACACTTAAATGTTTCAGATCGTCAAACAAATGTGAATATTGGACAAAGATAACCAGAGTAAATACAAGGTTCAGGTTTTAAGTGATGATTTCATTTGCAAAGGGAAAACATTATTGTTATGGCCCGTCTAGGGTTAGCCAGACCACAACATAAGGGTGATCCATCCTCGTCAAGCAGCCACAACTATTAGTTTAACTTTAGTAATTAAAATTTGTTTGGAGATTAAAACAAATGAAACAAAAAACTGAGAAACAGGGAAGGAGACAAAAACTTCTTCACTGTAATCCAAACCTGTGTCTGCTTATGTAGCATAGCACACAGCACAGTGTCATCATTTAAAGCCTCTGTAATACCCAGTACTAAGATTTGCTGTCATCTCATTTGCATTAACGCTAAGACAAAACTGTCAGGGTTTGGGGTTTAATTGTAATTTTGATTTTGTAAGATCACTTCCCTGCTCTTTCTTTAGAGCTAATTCCCCCCCCCTCTGCGTATTCATGTCATTTCTTTCAGTTTTATTTTACCAAACTTTCTTTTTGTCTGTTGTTTGGGGGGTTTTTTTCCCTTCATTTGCATCTTGCTTACCTGATAGTTTTCTGTGCATTCACAGTCCAGTCCCTTGTTGGTTGTGTCAGCCTTTGTGTGTAATCCTAAACTGCATTCCTCTATTTTGACACTAGTGGTTTTTTTATTGTGTTTCTTGCAAATTTAGCTTTCGGTTTACTTGTTTTCTTTGAACTTTGTTGAACAACCTTCCGGAATTTTATTTATTCCTTTGGCTTGTCATTAAGGCTTAGGTTTTGCAAACTACCTGTCAGCCTCCGGTGTCCTGCATTTGTGTGTGTTTGCATGTGTGTGTGTGTGTGAGAGAGAGAGAGAGGGTTTTTTTTTCCTAACTCGTCACAACAGATAATGCAGTCAACTGGAAAGTGTTTTGTGATGTGCCAAGCTGCACTGCAGGGTTCTGCAACGTGTCAAAACCAGGAGACGGAGTGAAACTAAACCATACCTCATGCACTAGTTTGTTTGCTTATTTGTTTAATCTATGAGGGGGCCATTGTTTTGTTTTTTTTATCAGAACAGTGTGACACAGTATAAGTTGGCCTATGACCAGGCCAATTAGTGTGATGCATGGTTGTCTTGGTGTTGTGTACAGCATATTCAGCAAAAGAAACAACTCTGCATACTTACATTTCTCTCATGCGCTCGCTGCGCCTCTAAATTTTGCAGCTATCTATGGCACAGCAAAATGTCAAGTTGAACCCGGTATTTCATCCTCTATTCATAGCAAATTGGTGCCACGTTGATGTATGTGCTAAGTAGAACAGCTTTACTGTTAAATTTGAGCTATTTTGTGTAAAGGGGGTACCAGCCTAAAGCAGCTTCTTTGATATCACCTACGCAGTGTTGTTATTATGTTAGTTTGCTGTTTATCTAATATAAAATGTCCTCGTTTAAAAATGGAAGATGGAAAAACAAAATTTCCTTTTTATAAAAAAAAAAAGTGTGAATTGCATGTTAAATAACAAGAACAATAAACTTTTTTCTGTTGTTCTACAGAGTTTTCAGGTTTTCATTGTGTTAAAGGGGTCTCACATTACACACCCACTGATTCCTGAGAAAAAACAAACTATTTATTTAGTAATACTGCACTTAAACCTTAAAGTTATGCATGGCTTTGCTGAGGACTAGATTAAAAATTACTTTCAATCCCTTTCACTTAATGAATGCAATATTTATTTAACATAATTATCATGGTGGTAAAATCTCACCCCAAAAAGCTTGATTATCATCTCCTTGGTTCAAAGTGTAGCCTGTATCCTGAAATTCTTCTTAACTTCATTTTTTGTTTCAGACCAACAGTGTTATGTACTTTTGAATATAATAAAGCATAATTGAACATTAAAAAGCCTATAAATGTAACAGTTTGTGTATTTACTGCCTGGAACCCTTGCGCAGTAAATTGTTTGCAACAAATGAGAACCTATTAAAAATTAACCCAAATGGAGCAGTGTGGGTCTCAGAAGCTGCTGCAGCATGCAATTTCTGTTTTGCTGAGGCGAGATTGTGGACTTAGCCTTGTTGTTCAATATTCTGTGAATAATTGAAACTGACTTGACTGGCGCCCGGTGTCTTTATTCAGTAAATCCTCAGATAAAATCGAAAGGAAAAATGCTGACTTAATCCTGAAAACGTAGCATATCTGACACTTTGCTACCTGAGTTTGTTGAGCAATCGAATTTATCATTCTGGTTTTGCCTCTCCTTCTCTCTGCTCCCATCCCTCCTTGGGCTTTGCTCCTCTCAGGTGGACTTGCTTGTGCCAACCAAGGTGACAGGTATCATCACCCAGGGAGCGAAAGACTTCGGCCATGTCCAGTTTGTTGGCTCATATAAAGTCGCTTTCAGTAATGATGGAGAGCAGTGGAATGTATATCAAGATGAGAAGCAGGGCAAGGACAAGGTAAGTTGCTTTTACACTACGTATTGATTTGATTGGTTTTTATTTTATTTTATTTGAACGAAGGGTCTCACTCAGCCAAATAAACCTGAAGCAGACAAAAACGTAGCAAATATCAAAAAGATGTGTAAATGTGTTATAAGGTGTTAAATTGTGAAAATGTTCATCTTGGAAGCTGTCTGTTTCTCCTTTCCATTTCCTCTTAGCATCTTCTTATCAGCGTCTCAAACTGAGCTGTCCTGGTCTGTCCTGGTCTGTCCTATTGCCTTTCTCTGGTTTGAGATCAGATAAGACCACCCTGTCAACCTGGCCAGGCCGGTGCTATGCTGAAAATCTTGTTTACGGTCCTTCAGCAGAGTACAAATGTCCATTCCAATCGCCCACAACAACAGAGACAGTGCAGAGCTGCAGCGGGCTCTTTGTTGATATCAGGGAACCTGCAGACACAGGCTAACAGCTAAAGCTGGAGCGTCTTGTCTTTCAGATACTGATTGCAAGACAATCTGTGTTTACTTTTCGATCTTGCTGTGCTATTGAACGATAAGGCCTACCTCTTCATTCTGATTCATCCAATGCTGATGTGTCGAATTCAAGAAGCCAAATGCGCTTAGCATGAAACAGCTTTGGGATAATATACTGTATACTTTGTTTATTCTCCAGTCTAACTTAAATCCATTTAGGCTTTGTAGATGATTTCAAAATATTTAACATTTTAAAATAGTTACAATAGTTAAATTAGTTTTCAACTGGAGATGACATTTGTATTAATAAATAACTGACTCATAACTATTAATGAAACAAAGTCCAGCTGTTAAAATTTGTGAATTTGGTTTTGTCAGAACAGTTAGTTCTTATTTTTATGCATATTTATCACACATTTCACATCATCAAACTAATTTTGATATTAGACAAAGATAACTGGAGTAAATGCAAAATGCAGATTTTAAATGATGATTTCATTTATAAAGGAGAAACCACTCTGCCTCTATGCAAGCAAGTAATTGTCCCTCTTTGATAAATCATGAATTAACTGTGATTAACCATGTTTTTGCTTAGCTAAGTTCCATGTCATTAACCACACCCAGGCCTGAAAAAGAAACATATCATGCTATGATCTAAAGAAACAGCTGAGAAATAAATTCACTGACATCTATCAGTCTGCAAATGGTTACAAAGCAATTTCGGAGACTTTGGGAATCCAGCGAACCACAGTGAGAGTCATTATCCAAAAATGGAGAAAAGTTAAAACAGTGGTGAACCTTCCGAGGAGTGGCCGGCCTACCAAAATTACTCCAAGAGCGCATCGATGACTCATCCAGGAGGTCACAAAAGAACCCAGAACAACATCTAAAGAACTGCAAGCTTCACTTGTCTCAGTTAAGGTCAACGTTCATGATTCAACAGTGAGAAAAAGACTGGGCAAAAATGGCATCCATGGGAGAGTTTTAAGAGAAAACCACTGCTGACTTAAAATAACGCAAATGCTCATCTCACATTTACCAAAAACATCTTTGATCTAAAAACATATGGGAAATGATTCTGTGGACTGATGAGACAAAAGCTAAACTTTTTGGAAGCTTTAAGTCTTGTTGCATCTGGTGTAAAACTAACGCAGCATTTTATAAAAAGAACATCATAGTCTGATGGTCTGGGGCTGCTTAATCCAATTGAGATGTTTCTGTATGACGTTAAACAGGCCATTCATGCAGGAAAGCCCTCCAGTGTGGTTGAATTAAAACAATTCTGCAAAGAAGAGTGGGCCATAATTCCTCCACAGTGATGGGAAAGACTCATTGCCAGTTATCACAAATGCTTGATTGTAGCTCTTGCTTCCAAGGGTTGACACAGCCAGTTGTTAGGTTCAGTGGCCAACAGCTTTTTTTTTACAACGGGCTAAGGCTAGGTGTGAATGTGCGAGTGAATGAGAGTGCGAATGGTTGTCTGTCCATGTGTGTTGGCCCTGCGACAGACTGGCGACCTGTCCAGGGTGTACCCTGCCTCTCGCCCTATGACAGCTGGGATAGGCTCCAGCGCCCCCCGCGACCCTGAAAAGGATAAGCGGAAGCGAATGGATGGATGGGCTAAGGCTAATTTTTTTCCTGTAAATTAATGAACTAATCTTTAAACTGCATTTTGTATTTAGCCACATTGTCTTTGTCTAGTATCTAAATTAGTTTGACGATGCAAAACATCATCACTCATCATCATCACATCTGTTTTAGCTCATTTATTGGTCACCTCCCAAAAAGTCCATCCTCCTCTGATTGGTCAGTGGGCATGAAGAAAGTCAGACACATAGACAGTATAAAAGATGGAGCTAGTTTCCAGATCTGAACAAATGAAGCTAATGCATAACTGCCCTTAAACCTGCATTTTCTGTAACGGCCACCAGGAGGCGAGAGCTGTCCTCTGCAGGAGCTGTTGACATTTTGCTAATGGGTTTATAGTCAAAGTCATTTCAGGTTATACTGTATAATTATAAACCATTAAGTCTGTTTATTACATTTTGGTGTCAAAAAGGAAGATTTTTCGAGATGTGATCACTGGATACTGAAATGTGCTTTAGCAAGTCAGTTTGAAAATACCAAAACGGCTTGAAACAGCTTATCTTTTGTGCTGTCTATGGTCAGGCAGCTTTGGTGAAGTGCTTCACCACCTTAACTCAGGTTAGTTTCTGCTAACAGAAAACAAGTCGTTTTAAGTGTAAATCACGGCACATTATGTAAATGATTGTTTTGTCAGCACAGAGCAGAGGTTGAAAAATATGCCAAGCGGCAGGTTTACAGTAGTCTTAATGTGTTACGTTGTATGTCTCTATTTTATGCTCTGTTTACTGTCTGACAACAGAAACAGAAAACTGGGAATATTTTCAATGGAAATTCATCTCTATTAGAGTGGCTAGTACATAGCTTTGTGCCATTCTACCATTAAACACATGGTGATTGCCTTATTATTGCTGCAACATTGCCATCAGAAGTAAAACAGCTCAGAAGCTGTGAGAGCATGAAGACTCTTGTGTTCACCGTTGCAACCAGCAGCAGAACATTTGGTGTGCTTTGTTCATAGCTGAGATATTTTCGAGTAAGAATTAGCAGAAGGTACTCTAGCGAGGAATTGATAGTGGACTGCATGGCATCTGGCTGCATGTGGATTTAGTTGAAGCACTTGTTTGAGAGTGTACCAAAGGAACTAGGTAAGTAGCCATTATGCCATTGTGTTACTTAATGATGAAGAGAAGTACCGTGTTTCCTGGGAGAGAACAGCATGGAATTCTTAACATGAATAAAGAAAGTATAACAGACAAATAAAACCTCACAAGGCATAATTTGAGCACTTTAATATCTGAAGGCAGACTGGAATTTTTGGATTCAGAATCTGTATTCCAGTATATACATCTATAAGTGATTTTTTTAAACCAATAGTACAATAAGACGACACTGAGCTTAACATCCTTTAGTTACTAGTTTTCTGTCATGCTTTGTATCATAGCCCAGCTGTGGGTCATACTCTGTAGTTTGTGGACAGATATTTTCAGGCTTTCTTAGATAAACTGTTTCTGAGCAGTTTGAAGAGGTTACCGGTGCCCGTAGCAGGCATTAAGTTGAGGTAGTGTCCTGTCTTTTTTCTTTTTCTTTTTTGTCAACATATTTTTGAAACACCTTGAGAATTTTATTTTGAATTTGGCACTACTGCTCACTTGCAGCATCAGCAGGTCAAAGATCCCCTCTGTGTAACATTCAATAAAAAAAATTGTGTAACTGTGCTACTGGGTTGAAGATGTTTGTGAAGCATTGAAGAATTATAACTTCCTGCTTCTTTTCAGCAAGATCCATATTTGAAACATTAGCATCTATCAACACATTGTCTTTCCAAATCAAAATAATTGGCCAAACCGAGAAGATGAAGAATTTAACTTGTTTTTCCTCTCTGAAACTACACACTATTACAGTACATACACAGCAAAACATAACCTCAAATGAGGAATCACTCCCATCACTGAGCAAAATGGAAACACTGATTTAAACTGCAGTGTGACCCACTGATGGAGGCATGCAACCACGAGGGGAGTTGCAGTCTTAGAAAAGAGCTTCCATTTTTGTTTGTCTCTGATACACGATAGATCAAAGCAGCGCTTCGTTGACACCAACAGCTGCTCTCAGTTCATCCCCTTATCTTTGCTGGGGATCCAGTGAAGTAGTAGATCCCTGGAAATAATTTTCCATTTCTACAGGTCATATTCTTTGCTTGAGGAGTTTGTAACACCCGTGGTGATCTTTGGCTGAGGGCCAGGCATGCTCACCATGATTTATACTCAGACAATTTCAATACCTTGGAATGAATGTTTTCTAAGCGTCATCTGAGTTAGAACGTGAAAGAAGGAAAAATACTGGTTGTATCTCAAGAGAATGATACATTTATTTTTAAGTCTAGTTTCAGCTCCACATTTTTTTGTTCTCTCCTGTGTTGTTATTGCTGTATAATTCAGAGAAGAGCTAAGACTATACCGTCACTCCGAGCATGTGTGCTCTGTATTAGAGGGCGGGCGTGTTTTGCAAGACTTCAGCAAATGTCAATCAGTTTGTCCCTTGCTGGAGCCAAGTGGCTGTTCAGATGTATGATTCTTCAAGGTGTTTTCCCCCTTCAGTCAGCCGAAGCAGCCATTAATGCTAGAGGACACATTTGGCTGTTAGACTCCCGAGGCTCCTCCTGCCACACCACAATGCTTGACTTGGCAGGGATATACTGTGAAAGTTTGTGTGTGTGTGTATGTCCGTGTGTGTGTTTGCCTATTTCCAACACAGTGGTAGAGGCTTGTAAGTATTCTTCTCAGCTCCCCCCTCCAGCTCCTATGTGGCAGAGGCTGCAGGCAGTTAGATCTAGATTGAGAGAGGAGACTCTGTCAGAATACAGATGTTGTCAAAGCAGGGCCCAGCGGTGCATGCACAACAGTATCCCTCTACAAAATCTATAGAGTGCCCTGTTTGCCTTTTCTTTGTACACCA